TATAGAAGTAGTTTATATATGGGATCATTTCCAAAAATGGAAAGAGGTGGTCAAGGTGTTACTGTCTTTGATTTATTACATGAGCAATATCTTATCAAATTGAAAAGATAAGAGGCTCTTATTTTATATTTTGGCTTGTCAATATTGGTAATTTGAGTTCCTAATTCATAAAAAAACTATAGACATAGTATTTAACATTGCAAACATCTAATTTGAACCAGTGCTGCATTCAACATACAACATGACACGTTAAAAATTGATGTTTAACTGTGTTTTTTAATATTTACTTTCAAATTAAGAAATTGAGTAAGGTATAATACTAACATTTGAATTATAATCTAAAGTTTGATACCAAACTTATTGACATAAATTCATGAAACAGTGGTTCAATAAAATTTTGAATGCGACTCAACAAATGCGATGACATGGTCTTTCACCCGTGACCCATCTCGAAAGGGTTAATATCTCAATCCAACATTTTATGAGGTTCATTCAAATAAATGAGTAGCTGATTTAACAGTTTAAAGTTTTATGTCTCTACCATGCCATCAAAATATGGATGAACAGCTATTATCATGGTGTTTTAGATTCTAAATATCTGACACTTTTCCACAAACAAGGCTGACTCAAAGTTCAATCCCTGATCTGAGTGGAGTTCTAACGACAAATTCATTCACTTGAGACAGAGGACCAAGCACATTGACAGCATCTTTCTCAAGTGGTGCTCCAAGATAATCCTGCTGTAGTTAACCATGTTATTTTTTCATCAATCTTTATGCTCAGAGCATAGTTCAAAAGACTTATGCACCAATTCTCTACAAATCCTCAGTATCCAATTCAATAGAATCATTCTCTCACTCAATCCAGTGTCTTCTTAACTCCCAATTGTCTAGTTATTGGGAGGTTGTGTAGATGAAGAGTGCTTCAGAATGAAGAGAGTGGAATTACCAACTCAAGTCATTGTTTCTGTCCACTAGTATCTTTCCATTTCCAAAATAACACGGCCTCCAATAAGCATAATGAATTCCACTGTGACCAATACATCTTTGTCTCCAAGCTGGTTTCAAACTTGTATCTATTGCCTGAGTATCTTTCAGATGTGTGATGGACCACATTACTTCATCATCACTCATGGATGTCACATCTTAGATTACACTGTGCTATAAATTAGGTTAGTAACCTTTACTATCTTGTGATACCCTCTTTTCAAGATGTTTAGATTTATCAAATCCCATAGCCTTCAGAATAATGTGTCAGCATTTTCATGGTTGCACTTAGGACAAAGCACAATGATAAAGTTGTATTATTGGAGTTTTTGAAACCATCTTGCTACCTGACTTTTATCACCTTAAGGTGATACTTGGTACATGAGGCTAAAGGCTCAAGCAGATGTCGAGAAACAGCAAGTAACACCACCTTTATATTCCAGTTATGTAACTGAAATGGTTGTTTGGGACAAAATACCCGAAATGACTTGAGGGGTCCAGAGAGCAATGGTGACTCAAATAATTTCCATCTTTTCAAGTATAGCCGATAAGGCCGCCTTATATAAGGCAATTGTGGAAGATGCAAAACCCTTGTCAAAGAGCCAGGTCAAAAACTGAGCTATGATTGGCATGTCTGGACAAAGTGGGTTTAACCTCATCGCAATACACCACTGTCAATATGTGTGCCATATTTCCATTGATACATGACCATCATGGGACAATGCAGAGACTGAGACAGGAACATGAAAATCTTAGAAGTTAAATCCTGATGCTGTGCAAAGGACTACATAACCTCCATACATGAAGCTTGAACTAAGGGATGGATGGGTGTAAGATGTTGGATCGTGGCTGCCTCAGCAGAGATGGCCAAAGAGGAAGTAGAAGAGGTGGGCACTCCAAAACGTACAGCAAAAGTGAAAATCAGGGTTGAGCTGGTCCATCTGGTGCTACCAACAGAACATGACAAAGGGTTTAACAAATCATTGCTAGGACTCTGGGTAACAGACAAATCAATGGGTAGGCATATAGGTGTGATCCAATCCAGTCCTGACTGAATGCATCAATTGCCAATGCCAGAGGGTGAGGTACTGGAGTCCAAAATGTCAGTAGTTGAGTGTTATAATGAGTGGCAAATGCATCGAACATTGGAGTCCCGATTCAAGAGCAAATCCAACAGAAAAACTCCTTGTGAAGCATCCATTCTGCCAGAAGAATCTGGCTGGGATGATACAATTGGTCCACCACCAAATTCATCACCCCAGAACATGACAAACTAGTAGGATGATATGATGGAAGTGGGCCCAATATAAAAGATCCAATGTTCAAAAACAAGAGACCTGGACTGAGTGCCCCCTTGACAGGAAATGTAAGACACCACCATGGTATTGTTGGAGTGAAGCATGATGACTTTGCCCCTCAATAATTTAAGACTTGAGATATTGCTCTTTGAACAGAATGTTCTAAAACACTGAGATGGAGGGAAGCTTCGTCGTCCATCCATAGACCCTGGAATTCCTGACTATTGAGATATGTACCCCATTCCTGAATTGAGATATCCGTAAAAAGATGGATCTCTGGATGAGCTGGGGGCAAAGGAACACCTATCATAGTAATGTTCCAATCTAACCACCATTCGAGAACAAAGATGTTGATCCTAAATAAGGAGACTGGTAAATCCAGTGAATCGTTGTTGATCCATTGGTCACCCAGAGACCACTGAAGGGATCGCATGTGCACTCGTCCCAAAGGAATGAGGGATTTGAGTGATGCTCGCATCCCCAAAAGAGGAAGAACCATCTGTGCAGTGGGAGAAGGAGATGTAAGAGTCAGATTGTCTGTTCCACAGCGTGGAGCCAGATGGGAGCCAGATGAGCCCAACTGAGATACGTGTTGAAAAAGACACCCAGATGGATGATATATTGTGTTGGAGTGAGAACAGATTTCTCAGCACTGATAAGAAATCCCGCCTTGGTTACTTCGGAAAGCAGATTCTGGGTGCGACATTAGGCCAACTGACAAAATGATGCCAGCATCAGCCAGTCTTCCTGTAATGGTGTGTGCACAGGCCCAGTTAATGAAGGATGTCGAGAAAAGTTCACACAATTCAGCAGAATACATATGGTGCCAATGCTAGTCCAAAGGGCAAAGCTTTGAACTGCAGCACCTGACCCTTGTGCCCAAAAACAGATAGTGGCGGATGATTCCACTATGGGAATGTGTATATAGATATTGGCAACATCAAACTTGGTCATCCACAGTCCTGGAAAAAAATGCCAATGCAGAATGAACAATGACTCCATTGTCAATCATGAAGGATCTAGGAATTGATTTAGACAAGAAAGATTGATGACCTGATGCCAATCTCAAATCTTCCTGGGCACAATAAACAGACGAGAATAGAACCCTGGAAGAACTGGGATGACTCTCTCCAATGCCCTGTCAACCAACAAATCTCTGATAGCCCTGAAACAAAGTTCTGAAATCTGAGAACCTGTAGGAGACAGAAACACCACAGTTTGGGGAATAATGATGGTGGAGATGTGAACTGAATGACTAATCCTGATGCAAGTACCTGTAGTACCCATAGATCTGTGATTAGGTTTTCCACATGTCCAGAAATTCTCCGAGCCGAGCACATCCCAGAACCCAAAGGCATACATTTCAGGAACAAAAAACATCTAAAAAAGTATTCCCAGACAATTGATTTGTCCCTAAGCCTTCTACACTTCCTACTACATTCTACTTGTCAATTTCCTACGAAACCATAAATTAATTCTCATACTAATTTATTCACTCTACACTGACATAAATAGATAATAATCCACTCTACCCCATAGTCTTTAATGGGATCAGAAAAATTAGAAAATAAAAACTCTTCAAAAGCTTTGGAGAAAGTATAACACAATGCCAAACTTGAAATTGAGTGCTTATGGAAAGAAAATAGTGAACTTAAAAGATCATTTGATGAGTGCAATTGATATTTATAAGCAAAACATTTTGTCATTCTTAAAATTTAAAATCTAGATAAT